CAGGTGGACAGGCATAGTTATTGAAAACTAAACCAGCAAACAAAAATCAAAATAATTCCCACAACAGTCAAAAAAGCAGTCATAAAAGCTTTCTGCTGCATGAGAGCACCGGGTATGTACAAGTGAATTAGAAAGCTTACGAGTTCATCAACATCTGGCGAATATGCAAATTTTTTGTTCGAGTACGGATACACCCAGATCTGTGAGTAAGTGTGTAGAGTGATGAACGCTTCCATACGATTACTCAGTGACAGTACCGCATCACGCACCGCCCTGCAATTCCTTGCTTATTCAAGCGTTTTTATGTTACTGATGAGATGTAGAAATATTGCCCAGAGTGTCGTGAACGGAGCCCTTTCTCAAAAATTGTTCTGGACCGGGAGGGAATTGAATCACTCCTCTTTGCATCCGGACGTAACGCGTTATCATTAACCAGCAGTCCTTGTGCTGGAGGTTCATCCTGGCAGCACATCTACTGTGTACAAGCCTTTCAAGTCAAGATACATCTCTTTTTTCTTTGTGGCGATTTCTTGGCCGGCTTTTTGCGAGTCTTACGCAACAGAGAACTTGTCTATTTGTATGTTTCTGCCCGCATATTACGATTTGCAAATCTACAAAAGTCGTTTTGCATCCGCGGCTAGGCGTCTAGTGCGCACCGCCGTTTGTTTCATAACATCTCTACACTTCATCGTGATTTAGGACTAGCAACATTCGGGGCCGAGCTAGTGGAGAATGGATATACTCCGAGGGCATCCTGAAACGTTAAGGCCCTCAAACGATTGAAGCAACTAGTAATGTTACCATCTGCATGGTAATAGCTAGTTCAAGTATAATTACTTATGCAATGTATCAACTTCTTGCAAAGGTACTGCTAGAAATGATAGTTAGAAGACTAATGTGTTTTTTCACCACTTGATTTACACCTGCTGTCAGTAAACTGTTTCAGAGTTATTAAAGTTAGGCGAACAATCCAAAAAGTGAAACCGAAAGAGTTCAAGATACAGGCCTTGTTTCTGGCTCGCTGAATGCTCGTTCGCCGTGATAAATTTCGGAACAAGGCGAAAAACTGGATCCAACTTCTGCAAACAGAAAGAACTGAATTTAACTCATTTTACAGTAAAGTTTTCGTCCCTCGAGGATGCATACCATCTGCTCGAAACTTCCTGACAACGAGTTTTACTCATCCAATCAACTGGCTCTTACTGTGACAAGACTTACCAGCGAAATGAAAAGCGAAATTTCGATTGAGGTCGACTCCTCTGCAGCAACGTCTTTTGCCATCTTTCCAGAAGCAGTGTTCCATAGAGCCTCTGTTCTTGCGCCACAATCGCACCTTCAAGTACCCTTCAAAATGAACTGCCTCATTTACAACAGCAGAACAGCACTGTTTTCAAATATTTTCCTCATTTTTTTCCTATGTATTTAATCTGTTCTGGACATTTTTAATTGTTGGGATAGCTTGAGATATTCGTTAGTAACAAAGAAACCTGTTTAGACAGAGCCACTTTTTTTGCAAATGAAAACGAAACGGGAGGAAATCAAATCACACGCTTTCACATTTGGACGCGATGTGCTAAACACTGCATCAAAAACACCTGCGGTTCAGGAATAACTTGGGAACACTTCCATATATCTGCTTTTAAGGGAGCATATGCTTTTTTTTTGCCTGCCTTCCCTAAGCAGCATACAAATTCGTGGCGGCTTTTTCTTTGCTGGCTATTCGAGGATTATGCGACAGAACTTCCACTCCAATTGTTCGGGCAGTTTTGGTAATCGTGGTAATTGTGAAATTTCTATGGTCATCTTGATCATAATAGCCACAAATATGCTCTCATCCTGCTTTCAAGTCTGGCATGAATGAATATCAGAAACATTAATGGCACAACGGTGCACAACGATCTAGCAAAAATTAATCAAAGCAATATGAGCTGCAAATGAATGCAAAAAACTCACAGAAGGATTTCCAGGATCTGATCGTGTGTACTCATACCCATCTGGGTTCAGGCAGGGAAAGATATAGATGTCCAGTTTTTCAAAATACTCTGTTACTTTCGGATCTGTATAATATTCTTCGATAAGCTGCAACTTCCTTCAATGAACGAGTGATTTTTACGCGTTTTTGCTGTGCAGCACTATAGCGGCGCTATTGCGCTGCTACAGCCAACAAAAACGCATATTGTCGAGAGGCTGTCTGTGTGTGTGTTCGGAAAGCGAGTGCATTCTGTCACCCACTTTCAACTCGGCAACCAGGAAAGCTGGGATCTGAAACTTTGGATATATGTCCCTAAGTGTGTGTTCGCAATGCGAGTGCATTTTGTCACCCACTTTCAACTCGGCAACCAGGAAAGCTGGGGCTGAAACTTCGTGTGTGTTCGGAAAGCGAGTGCATTTTGTCACCCACTTTCATCTCAGCAACCAGGAAAGCTGGGAGACTGAAACTTCGGGTATATATTCCTAACCCGTGTGTCATCCTCCCGTTTTAAGATCTTCCGCCATACGTGCCTAAACCTCGCGTACGGGACCCCCAAAGAAATATTTTGACGGGAAACGATTCCGCGAACCAGGCAACGTAGAAGGGGGGGGCTGAAACTTTGCAGGGATATTCTCTATGCACGTGCGAGATAAAAATTTTAAATCCAGCCCTCTAGCTCCCCAACCACAGCCTCAAGCAGCTCCTGAACCCAAAAATCGCTGGCTACTCGGACCTGAACCGCAATCGTACAAGCAAATGAACATGGATTTTTTAAAGAACGACCTTCGAGCAATACTTCCAATTTTTCATGAACTGGAAATTTGCATTTTTTCAAAAAATTTGCATTTGTTATTTTTTCACAAAGTGAGCACCGAAAAAACGACTGGACTTCATGCAAAAACCGGTAAACATGCACTTGAATTCCGTGCGGCTCTATAATGCACCATTTTCATCCCAACTGACGCCTTTCCTCCTGCAAGCCGGAAGGGGATAAAGCACTGCCAATATGAGCCAAGCGTTCCAGCCTGGGTTTCATATTTTGTGCTGCTAAACTACGCATACAAAAATAGTGGATGTGAAAACTCTTAAATGCAATGGAAAATTGAGGAAATACCTCTCTGATGAAATAAAGTGCGGTATGTACGGATGCCCATTCTCTTGCATGGATCCCAGCATCAATCCACACGACCCGTGTCGAATTCGCGTGCTGCCTGCCAAGCTACAATGCTAATTGTTTTGAAGTCGACAAAATCCTGGACTATAACGGGATGAAGGTGTCCAGAGGGAAAAGTACGTAATGCAATCACAGTGCTAATGCATCTAAATCAAAGTTCTAAAGCGGTCGTACTTCATTCCAAAGACCTAGTGCACGAAATCACAGTTCCAAAGCGAGCTTGCTTCATTTCAAGGCTATCCTCAGTTTTGAATCAGCAACCTATCCTTTGTTTCGAATCAGCGTAGCAAAAATTCAAACTTTCCTCATAATAAATTGGAACAAATTGAAACTGTGCTAATCGATACACTATCGGCTCACCCGTGATCAATGCACAGAAGCTAATGCAGATAGCCAGTCGCTAATATTTAAGCAGCCAATGGATATGTCAGATTTTGACAACGTTCTTTTATATCTTCTCCCTAGACACAAGCCTGACAATGAAGCATTACCCTGACTCCGTAAATAGTTCGTTTCTCGGGTGTAACTCCAATGGATGTGACTTTAACAATATCAGAATATCGCCTTTCCAAGCTTTTTAGCCACCGAACAATGTCGTCGTAGGAGTGATATTCGCCCATATGTAGTTCCGCAATGTTCGAACTATCATCACGAAATCGTTTTTGCCCGTCTAACAATTTCCTACGACTCAGTGCTGCCTCGTTACTGTTACGCAAATATCTGCAGAAAATCTGATTTCATTTTTTGCTATCACAAAAACAGTTATATCTTTATGAAAAAAGAGAAACAGAAAATTGCTTTTTTTTTCTGAGTTTTTATAATCTCTAAAATCTCTTCAAAGTGTTGATGGAAACCTAGGCGAGTGAAAATGGTCATGGAGTTTTGAAATCTGTCGGCTGAGTACACGGAATTATGCGAGATAAGAGAAATTCGAAACAGAAAAGAATGGAGAATCTGCCTGCTGCTGGTGCACCAGTGGCAAGAAGAAACGCAGCGATGGAATAACAGCTGATCACAACAAAAAAGTGTGAGGTGGATGCTGTCACAAGTTAAAAAGTGTTGTGAACTATGATTACAGGCAATTTTCAAAATTTAAACGGGAATTGACAAAACTGCATTGCATGTTGTCGGAAGTATTTTTTATTTCACAGGGTAACCGGCTCTCCTCTCTTCCCTGCTCTTGTTTCTTTAACAAATCGCCTTAACAACCCCCCTCCTTCCCTCCCTCCTCCGCACTCTCTTCCTCGCTTCGATTTCTGGAAATAGAGCGTCAGGTTTGATTAGTTTTATACGTAGCTAAGCAGAATTTAGATGGGTGAACTAAATTCTTTATGAGAAAAAGTGCCAAATCAGTTCTTAACTTTGTCGGCTACGCTTTAAAAAAATGTTTGTCAAAGGTAGTTAAAAAAAAGCATGGGAAATTTCTTCAAGACACAAAAGTGCAATTTATAAGAAAATTATTCTCTGAAGGCGAAAAGAAAAGGCAAAAAAACGATTGAACTGTTATGTAAAACACGTCCTTCAATTGACCAGTTTAAAAAGCGAATGTTCTCTGAAGGACAAAAAAGTGGTTCACATTCCTCTCTCTCACCGTCACTCCACTTTCTCTCTCATTACCCCTCCTTAATGAAACACGGTACTTTTAATGATTCGCAGGCCAAAAGAGCTGAGGACTTACTGAGCAACGTCATCGACGGCAACGCGAAATTCAATAGCGTGTTTTTTAAACAGACTGCCTAATTTATTCTGATATCCTGGATAAACCATAATATCCACTGACTCATTAACCGCTATTGGAGACTTCCAAAAATCTGTCTAAAATTAATATTACTCATTTCGTAAGTTAAAATTCTACAAATCCAAATATCTGGCATCATGTAAAAAATACTTCTATATTTTCTGCAATGTGAAGGTCTCTATTTCTCCTGAAGTTTCTGACAGTTTCTGCTTTCATTTTGTAGCCAGACATGTAAAACGCGGTTTTTTGAGAGGTTAGTTGGTTATAGGATCCAAAGATACAGGGCAAAGTAAGTAGTCAGCAATGAGGTAGTGTAACTGCCTTTGCCCAGCATTTTTCGGAACTCTAAATGCTTTGGTGCTCTTGTAAAGAAACAGACTCATCCACTTTTTCAGCGTAACAAAAAATTTTTTATTTGCTTTTTCCAAGCATGATTTAGGGGCAGCTTCCTTTGTGAGTGAAATAAACGACGGCTGTCGCGAATTGCTT